TGGTTGAAGCAGATGGCATTTTGTTTTAAATTCTTGACAGGGGCATATGATTGAACAAAATATTCAATCCTTCACATCTTTCATGTGGGGATGCCTCCAAATAGGGGTGCCCATGGGTGCCCCAAACCCTTCGTTTTTAGTTTTAAAAATGGAAGGCTTTCCGCACCCCTAATTTCAGACATTTCCATGAATATATACGTATACAGTCTTGTAGTTTGGCAATACTAGGATGCCCCAACAAAAACGTTTTTGTTTTCTCTTATCAGGGCATTCTTCCCCAATGTGCTTTGTCCATTCAGCCTGCACTTCAGGCATGGGGACTCAAGAAGAAGGATGCGACGTACGAGAAGCATGGAGCTTCGATTGCCAAGTTGAAGTACAATGCCGCCTACACCCTGAATCACTTGACTGTGGATGATGAGGGTGACGCCGGTCACAACGTAGATTGATGTTTCTTTTTTTGTGGATCAGTCTCGCGGGGTCGCATGCTTGCTGAAATGCAGGCATGATTCGTTGTCAAACTTTGGGGGCGTGGCTCAATATAGCTCCACTGTTATAGGCCTTGTTTCCATTCAACATGCATCATCGCTATCATTTTTTGTGGAGATTTGTGAAATATGTGTTTGTATCAATATATTATTTTATAGAGTCTCGAATTCCATTTGCCTGTTGTCATTTGGAATTACAGGGCATCAGGGGGCTATACACTTAGCCACTTAATTTAGCGTACCAGTGAAGACCCACGCACGGTCTTGTCGTCAATGGCCATGTGAGTGAAAAGGTCCAGGCCCATGCTTTGAGCTGCCCAAGTATGTTGAACCCAATGTTGTTCCAAGAGCCCGAGTGATTGGAATCCACACTGCAGCACCCCCAAGACTGAACTTACGCATATCTGGGTATTTTTTTTAAATGGGCGATGGTCGAAAATAGTTTATAAAATCCCTTCAAAGGTTGTTTCGAGCATCCCCCATAAAGAGAAACACCCATATATATATATTTATTTAAATATATAAAATGGACTTGAACCCATGTTCCACTTAAAACCCTTTGCCTTCCCACATCTTCCTGCTGCAGGCCTCGGATGCGCAATGCCACCAGGCTTGACGAAGGGACGGAACACCTGGAAGGTCCGGTCGAAGTTTGTCAAGGGTAAACGAAAATCAGGAGATGCTGGCATGATTATGATTCTTGGGGTCTTTTGGGACGTGCAGGGTTGCAGGAAACATTTTCACAAATATATACAGTTTTGTATCCCGGGTTTTTGACATATGATATCTTTGTGATGTAGGGCTGGTGTATTCGAGGGTCCATGTGAAAACGCCGTATAGCTAGTGGGGTCTTTACACATGTTTTGCTAGCACGATGTTTTTTTGGAGGCAGCCAGGTCAAAACAATCAACGTCATCAAAGAAACACAATGTCAAATTTAATTGTTCACGCGCATTCCTTTATCGCAGCACATTTTGCACAGAAACACCGTGTGATAGAAAGGGCTTGGCGCTGGGTCCGACAGTGATCCTGTAGCCATGGATGGCATTCCCCAAGAGACCAAGGAGCTCGACCGTGTTATGTACCAGCTCTATCGGCTGGGATGTCCCAGGGTTATTTGGTTTAATTCGACAGTGTTCTTACATATGCTCGTGAATTTGAAAACGCAAATTTGGGTCTGGGAATATGGCCAATGTTTTTTTCATATATAAAAAAGACCCATGTTATGTATATACCAAGATATATCTGGTTCCCTTGCCAACCGGTCCCTTTTGGGCCCGCACCGTTGCCCAGATTCTGGCTGCGTGCATATTGATGGTTCTTTGGACGCCTTCGCTTGGCATCCAGGAGGAGACTGCTAGTGAATGGCTGGGGCTGTGATTAGTCAACACGGCAAGGTGTTGAAAACTCATGGGGCATCATGGGAAGAGTCTTTCCATGTGGGAAACCTTTTAGATTCTGCAATGTGTTGACACGTGTTGATCAACCATACAACCCCATGCAACCATATGAAAAAGCATAAAGGACTCAAAGGACCTACTCCGTTCTTGGTGTCTTCAGGAGATGGAGTTTCAAATGGCAGAATTTTTTGCTGGGCGCGGCAATCTATCACGATGCATGCGCTTGTCAGGGATTCCAACAGCCTCTCTAGATCTCTTATACCCAGCAGTACCCAGAAAGTCGAACCCTAACCGACATACTATTAATGCAATGGACATGAACACTCCAGCAGGTTTTGCGCCCTTTGGTCGTGGAAGACTTTCCCATTTTTCTGATTCATTGGTTTCTGGTGTTTCAACAAAATTTTTGACAGGGGATATATGTTTGTTCACTGGTGTGACATTCGTTCTACATGGGGATAGCGGCAACAGTTTCAAGAACAATTGGTTCCACTTTCTTAGCTGGGGTTTGGATGGACTGTGGACTTGGACAAATTTGTTGGTATGCTGGATTCATCACCATTCGTGGTTTGAATGTGGGATCTTTGATTCTTGAATTGAATTTGAAGGGGTTACTGTGTATATACTTTCAAGAATTTGTCCCCAATCATTATGAAGCAAATGCCCACAATTCTTTTCAGGCAACCACAAATATGTATATCTCTCACTCTGTTTGTTATTCGTCCTTATTACATGCAGGTATACTTTGAAGCGGATGCATTCTTGTGACACACAAATTGGGACACGCAAGGTTGCTAATGTTTTTCAACTGTATACAACTTCTCCATCAGGGTGGCTACTTGAAAATTTGACCTCAACATCCCGGCCGCTGAGGCTTTGCCTGGTGACCTTGCTGAAATGCCGGCCCCGCAAGTTCCTGGCCACATACGCATTGAAGTGCAGTTCTCACACCCCGGTGAATGCTGGGACGTCGGGGCGCTCGGCCTGTTCTTCAACAGGCAATGAAGAACAGGAAAGCGTGATTTCTTCCAACATGCTGTCATGTCGGAAGCTTGAATGGGAATGATATACATGTTGGAGCTGTTCCTTCGTGTATATGTATAAAACTATATATATATATATTGAGGGAACGTAGTTCGACTATATATATATATGTATACATATACATATACATGTATATGTATATATATATATTCACAGCAGTTTCTCTATATCCACAGCAAAAGTGGCATCCGCATTGTGGTATCTGAGGACAATATTACTTCTTTTGGTGACCACTGCATTTGAAGGGTGTTGGGTGCTGGAACAGCCCAACGGATCGTCTTTCCGATATTTCCCTGCATTCAGAGAGTTCATGCTGGCCATGCTGAAAGCATGTGGCAGTTCGGCAGCCCAACCCTGAGTTGACAAATTCACAAAGATCTTTGTATATATAAATCTTGATATCAACGGTTACGCGAAATATGGAAACGGCATTTATTTATAGGCACATCTTAAAATAAATAAACATAGAGAGAGAGAGAGAGTAAGAGAGAGAGAGAGAGAGAGTAAGAGAGAGAGAGAGAGACAGAGAGAGAGAGAGAGAGAAAGAGAGAAAGAGAGACAGAGAGAGAGTAAGAGTAAGAGAAAGAGAAAGAGAGAGAAAGAGAGAGAGAGAGAGAGAGTAAGAGTAAGAGAGAGAGAGAGAGAGATAGAGAGAGAGAGAGAGAAAGAGGGAGAGAGAGAGAGAGATATATATATATGTTTCGGTTTTGTATAGAAACCATTCTTTGCAGCCTCGCCCCGTCTAAGGTGACAATGGTCACATGGCATATGAGACATTATGGAGCACGAACTCCTAAGCCTCATTTTGCCTTTGCAAACTCGAGGGCCATTGGGCGACTCTGGAGGGGTAAGTTGAAGGGCTGGAGAAAGCGCTCCAAGGCAGAGGGTCACGTAGCAACATGCGAGGTTTACAAAAACAAATCTGGCAAATCTTGTTGGAAAGGAACAAAGAAACTACGTTCCACAGAGATTCTCACTTGCAGGTCAATTTTCTTTCAACTTCCAGCTGCATGGGTTCAACCAATGTTTGTTTCAATTAAAAAATGAAATTTGGGGATCCCCTATGTGGAGACGTTTTCACATATATACATAAAATGGTTCCCCACATTTTGGAACTCCATTTGTTTAATTCCCTTTGTAAATTGGAATCAAGTAAATACGTCCAGATTCTCCAAATTAAGCCACACGCTAAGGGAATATCCCGAGCTCTTTGGGATGGCCATGGTCGATCTCTTCCACGATCTCACCAACAGTGCTCAAGGGTTTGCAGCGGTACCAGAGCCGACTCCCCAAGCCATGGTGTCATTCAAAAAAATGGATAACCAGCACGGGGCCCTGCAATATGCACGGCTGGAAGATGTATATACATACTTGAGAGGGAACCGGCGCTTAGAACTTCCAGAACATTGGAAGCCGCTGATTCCTAAGAACCTGGATGCCTGAGCCCAATGGAAGGTGAAAACTTACCTTTTATAAATACAACAATTTTCATTGGTTTGGGTCAGAAGAAATTTGAATTCGGCTTTATAATTCAGGGATGATTCCAGACATGAAAGATTTTCAGCCAAAATCTGGACCTGGAAAGTGAATCCACTTACGAACAAACAGGTGGTTTTTGTGTTTTTTTCGGACAATATGATGATTTATTATGATTTTCAAGATTTTGGCTGAAAATTTTAAGGGTTTTTTGGAAAAAACCTGTATTTTCCCGTACTTATCCCGTATATTTTAATTTTCCTAAAAACCCCGGGTTTTAAAAACCCGTATTTAACCCGTACAAAACCCGTAATTAACCCGTACAAACCCGTAAAAAAAATATGGGTTTTTTGGGCCCTGGGCTGAAGGCCAACAGTAGCGGATTTTTAGGTCCGATTGCTGTTTTGCGAGAACATGCCAAACCGGCATCGAAAATTAATGGGAAAAAATGGATACAGCCTTGAAATTTACATGGCGTACCGCGGAAAATTGCTAAATCATCTCCAGGCACCATGTTTTCTGTAAGTTTGACGGTGGTGCAAATTCGCAGGCTTTTTGGACTGGAACGGACTGTAGTTGGACTGTAGTGAGTATGGCGCCAAAACATGCGTCTACTCGAAATTGGAGCTGTTCAACGTTGGCTGATGGCGTTGACGCGCTTTTGGAGCAAGCGCAAGCCACTGAAGATGAAGAGCATCAGTTGGCTGAGCTTGTGAAGGACCTTACAAACATAGTGTTGGACTTGGAAACACGGGTGGCTTAGTAATCCCTTTTTCATGTTTTTACTTTTCGCCCCTGCAGGAAATGGAAGCGGCAATGCTCAAACGCAAAAGTGAAGCTGCGCCCTGCTGGCATTGAGCTGATGTTTGGCTCTGTTGCCTTTTCAAAAACAGAACATAGTTATTATAGCTGTGAACCAACAAATGACCAACAAATCTGTTTTTTTTTTACATGCCCCTTGTATGTCTGAATGTAAGTATATTCACCTTGATTTTCACATCCACATGTATATATATATATATGGAAGTCTTAAACCACCAACATAGATACACATACATATGACCACATCTTTGTTTACATCTTTAGCACCTTTGCTTCTATATATGTTGTTCTTTACGTATTATATATGTACGTCTATATGTTCAACTAATTCTTTTTACCTCTACAATCCTCTACCTAAATCTCTATATTTTTCTCTATCTTATCTTTCTCTATCTGTATGCATCTGTATCTCCATCTATCTATCTCTATCTGTACGTTCACTTATCTATTTTTTCAAGAAAGATCAGCTATCTTTCTCTCTCCCTCCCTCTCTCTCTCTCTATCTCTCTCTCTCTCTCTCCATCTATCTGTCTATCTATCTGTCTGTCTTCCTATCTATCTATCTATCTGTCTGTCTGTCTGTCGGTCTGTCTACCTATCTATTTATATCTATCCTTCTATCTATCCATCTATCGATCTATCTGTCTATCTTTCTTTCTATCTATATCGCTTGATCGACAGCCTCATCCTTCTCCAACAATGGGTATCTATATATATATAAATATATCTATTTATCTATCTATAGTTTTGTATTTGTCTATATAGATATGTTTGGAACGAAAACACACATGATATTCTTATAATGTCTTTATACTTCTATATGTGCAAATATTTTGTGCCAATATATTTTTATATGTATATATATGTGTATATATAATGTTTAAAGAAATCTCTTTTATATGTTTATGCCTATGTTGCTATACCTGTAAACCTTCTAAATCGACAGCCTGCGACCTGAGGGTCCTGGAGAGCAAGCTTTGCCGGCTCCCCCGGCCCCGGTGGTCGACACGCCTGTGGACGAGGCATTGACCGTTCCAGTTGCCTGGCCCACGGGCTGAGAAATTCTGCAGGTTTTGGACAGCGCCCAACAAATATCCTAACGTGGCTTAAGTATAGTATGGGTCATCTCCATACAAATCATATCGGTTGAAGGGTTAAACATGTATGTGTATATATATATATATATCTCTCTCTCTCTCTCTATCTATCGATCTATCTATCCATTTGTATTTATATAGTTTTATATGCATATACATATACATGGTTCGGAATTCCATCAGATGGGGGTGATGTTCAAAACAACGGAGCCATTCATTCCGCATAAACCATTAACGGCTTATGTGCCAAACTTAGGCTACTGAGGAGGAACTTCAGCAAGCCCTTGGTGATCAACAAGTTTCAGAGCCGGCCACGGTGCCGCAGACACATGGAAATGATGAGGAGGCTTTTGCGGGATTAAAGGGTGTGAAGTCCTGTCTCATATAGTCCTGCTGCCCCCATTCCAAACGCAAGTTATAGGATCACTATAATAGATATTACCATGGACACAAAAACTGGTAACCTCAACAGCTAGTGCAGGAAACGCCTGTGCCTTCGCAAAGTGGCGCTGTGTTGCCAGAACCCCGTGACATTGGAGACCAGGGTTCCAATGTGGATGGGGCGGGTGGCCCTCCGACTCCAGTCCCTAGTGCAGTCCCGGCGACTCCACTTGCGTCAGTCCCTGCCACTCCAGTTGTAGATGATACTTTGGTGGTCCCGACCCCACCAGCCAGCCCCGAAGATGATGATGCCTTGCCATCGGGGTCTTTGAGCAAGCCAAAGATGACCCGCCAGGCCTGCTGAGCCGGTAAAGGTTTGGGTGGAATCAGATTCAAAACTTTCTCTTTCAGTGGTCAGTGATGCTGGATAAAAACAAAATTCAATACTTTCTCTTTCAGTGGTGTTGGATTAATCAACTTGTTCCTTCTTCGCAGGCGCGCTTGACAGCTGCTGCTCTGCAACGTCTTCGCAGGATGTGTGCCATCAAAAAAAAGAGGAAAACTCTGGAAGTCCCAGAGTGGGTTCGAAAGGAGTACCAAAGTGGTTGCAAAAACACGCTTGCGAAGATTTACATGGATGCCAACTGGTCTAAGGCCAGGTTTGGTAAAGATTTTATATGCAGTAAAAACACAGCATAAGTGCTGAACCTATCCAAAACATTTTTTTACAAGAGAAATAGATTCCAAACTATCATCCATCCGCTCCTGATAGGAAGCTTTCATCGCCCAGCTCGAGGTAGTGGTTAAAAAGAAGAGCAGTTTCAAAATCACCATCGACGAAGAATGGCTGTCCGAGAAAGAGATGAAAGATGATTATGGGTGGACCCCGCCCTTAAGTTGCACATTGATGATTTGTTGCAGTAAAGATGTTTCCATATCCCAATCCCAATTTGATTCTTTTCACCTCAAAAACTTCTTCCCTGCATAGGTTTTCCCGCTCCCAGCTTGCCTGCATCCGAGGGCTCGGATTTCTGGAGCGAAGAAGATCTGCGAGGCCAAGAAGGCGACCCATGTCAGGCCGAAGTGAGGGATGGGTGAAAGTTATCAATATTCTTGAGGACTAATAGACAACAAGATACACTTAAAACCCAGATATATTTACCTATAGCGTACACAGGTATATACAATGTTTATGTGCAAATAGACATGCATGTAAAGTATGGTTTGACTTGATACCAAAGTTTTTAATTGGCCTTTACTTTAGCCTCTTGACAGGCATAACCAATACGATGGAGTCGAAGAGTTCTACGTCGTGGTCAAGGAGAAGGGACAACGTGAAGAAGAAGAAGCCCAGGAAGAGATCAAAACCAAGCGCAGCAAATTGGAGGCTCTGTTGGGTGCGGGTCACTGTCTTGGAGCACGAGCTTCCACCTTTGTTCAACTAAATTCAAAAATATATTCGTTTATGTGGTCATCAGTGCTGCCAGGAATGGACATTGCAAACAACAATATTCTATATAAAAGGCCACATGTGACCTGTCGGCGTGGTCCTTTGTTGTATGGTCGCCTTTCACCTTATTTTGTCTTCTTCCCCTTTTGCCAGCCCCAATCATTGCAGGATTCCCAAGCGCCTGCTATCGCAGCTGATGCCTTCAATGGCCTCCAGCAGGCTGCGAGTAGGCGTGAGGCTGACAAGAACTTTGCCCCCAAGTCGGAGGAACAGAATGGCGGAACAAAAAACCAATTTGCTGAGGCCATGTTGGTGTACACAACATGCAGGATAATTATACCTCTTTTGAAATCATGTTCTGGACGTTCAAGGTTCTCATGGTTCATTTCGTTCAATTCCCAAATTCTTCCACCATGATGTTCTTCACCCCCTGTCAGACCAAGACTTCACTCCGGAAGTTCTTAGACAGTTTGCTTCAGAAAAGTGGCAAGATTCGTGGCCTCATCCGGGAGTTAAAGGAGAGTTACACGGGCAGCACCACCCTGCAATCGTATGGCCCCCAAATCATGTGCTGTTGCAAAATCATCTTTTGGCAAAACTTTCAGCTGCATTACAGGTTATCCACCACAGATACAATTCCTCCCAAATTCTCACTCCAATTGGCCCATCTGTAAGGCATGTGCAGCTCTTGGAAACCCAGCTTGGAAAGATGGATCAGCACTATGATGAGTGCAATTCGGCGATGGCAACGGGAGAGGTCAACGGATATGATGACAAGTTTCTTAGCTATATATATATATATTTATTTATTTATTTATTTCTGTTGCTTGCTCAGGCAATCGCCAGATTTTAACTTTCCCAGTGGGTGCAAGAAGGAAGACCATTGGGTAAGAGTAGGGGTACCTTTCCTTTTATCCCGCAAAACTAAGACTTCAGAATTTTCGAGCTGAAGAAGGCAATTGAATTTCATCCCTCGGGTTGATCCCAGTCCGCATTTGCTCTGAGATTTGTCGCCCTGGCTACGAGCAAGATGAAAGCAGCAACCTTTGTGTGCTGGCCTAAGTGTATATGGTTAAACAGCACCCAGGTGTAAAAAAAAAGTTTTTGTTTCAAATGTAGACATCTGTATATATATGAGATTTCTGGATATGTCTTTGCACAAGACATGTCTTGTTAAGGGGGTAGCCGCTAAGCTCTCCCCTCATCCCACTGTCTGGCCTCAAAGGTGCAGTGCTGCGTGTGCCTTGGAGATGAAGACCAGGAGCCTGGGCGTCCAAGTGCTGCGCTTTTATAGGGCATGTTTCACGTTTCCCGGGGCCTTCATGCATATCTATACGTACACCATATATATATATATGTACATATCTATCTATCTGTCGATCTATCTATCGATCTATCGATCTATCGATCGATCTATCTATCTATCGATCTATCTATCGATCTATCTATATCTATCTGTCTATCTATCTATCTATCTGTCTATCTATCTATCCATCCACCCATCCATCTATCTATCTATCTATCATCTATCTATATATATATATATGTATATATTGTTTCTCATAGTGTGGCAACTGAAACGCTTACATTTTTCTTTTTCTCTGCCCAGGAATGCCAAGAAGTACGAAAAGAAGGATGCTGGGGGTGTGAAGCCTGAGCCTAGCAATCCCAGAAAACGACCGAAAGCGGAGGAGAGTAATACTGGTGCCCAGCCTTCGGCCCGAAAACCTGAAAAGCCAAAGAAGCCCAAGAAGGCGGCCAAGTAATTTTTTGGGTATAGCCCTGTTTTGTCGCGTGGGAAACCTGATTTTTGTTCAGGCTAGAGCCTGCGCTGGACGAGCATATGGAAATGTTGCCATAGAGTCTAAAGATTCCAAAAACAAGTTTGGAAGTCTGACTCTGGATGGTCCAAACGTGTTGGGGTGATTTCCCATGTTAAGATGTAGATTCTAGCAAGGTATAAATTTCCACTCCTTTGCGTTCCAAACAGTTTCATTTTTTTGCTTCCACTTGATATATGTGCCAGAGGTTGCCCTCATGGACACGGAATGGGCATGTGAGCTGTAGGATGAGTAGGCTGTTGGGGAAGCAGCTGAACTTCGGTCCAAAACATGCGGCCCCACAAGCTGCTGCATTGTGGTCATGTAAACTGTGGGGCTTTGGAAAACAGGCATGGTTTCTTGGATCTATATCCCCACTGGATATATCTTTGTGTTCCCCACTGGATAAACGATACAAAAAATATATCATTGATGAATATATGATTGGTTAGAGTCTTCTTTGTGTTGTTGAGTAGGCTGGGGGAATTCAGGGAGAAAATTGCACGTAGTGGTTTGAAGGTAGGGTGCCCTGGTTTGTTCCTTGTGGCCCTCCCATGGCCAACAGATTGGTCCATCCGCAGAACATCCAATGCCAGGTGTCGGACATGCTCTGCAAGCCATCGCTGGTGATGTTGGCCAAGGAGCCTGGGAGCCCAGGCCATGCGGTCGCACAATCAGGTGTTACTGGGCTGCTTTTTGTGCTGGAATACATCCAAGTGCAACATTTGAATGATGCCTGGATTCGTGCGTCATCCACCATGCCGCGCGTATGCGACTGAATTTTCAACAACAGTGCAGCTTTACATCAATGAAAAACATTATTTTTCCCAAAGGTAAAAGGAATACATCGCCGTGGTGCACTGCATGTTTTCGTGTCAAACAAAAGCAACAGTACCCCGAATGAATGTTTTGCATTTTGGCAAGGTATACATGTCCAAAAAGATTCCAGCACTGTATGACAGGCAAGCCGACATACAGCGTCAAACGCATATATCCTCTTGAACCATGGCTACGGCTAGCCATGACGAAACTGTTGAGGAGGAACTTGTGGATTTGCTCTCTTGCCATCGTTCTGTATCTTATCTCAATATTTGGGGAACGACTCTTATATATACAATATATATATACACATATATATATATATATACACAAATGTTTCTGCGAATTTGACACCGAAGTGGATCAATCGACATATACGTATAATTAATATCAAATATATACAAGTATTCTCTGATTACCTCTGACCATATAATTATGGTTTCTTGTGATGAGGAATTGCTGGGACCCTATGCATGGAGAACCACTTTGGTTTCCGGGCAGAAAATCGTCCCAAATGATGCTTCTGTCCTGGCCGTGGACGTGGAGATGCCACCCACCAGTCGCGATTTCGTTGGAGAGAATGAGACAGACTTTCAAGCGAGGCTGCAACACCTTCAGTCCAAAGCTTTTGATGTGCCCATCTCTTTCTGTCTACCAAAGGCCAATGCTGTTGCCGGGGCCGTGTTAGAACATGCGATCAAGGTGATCGAACGGACTTTCTCGAAACAGGACCCATGTATCTTTAAACTGGGATTTACACATAACCCAGTCTTTAGGTGGTGCAATGGCACTTATGGATATGCCCATTCTGTTGAGAAATGGTCCGAAATGACAGTATTTTACGCATCACCAGAGCCATTCAGCGCCGCTATGCTTGAAAGTGCTTTGATCGAGAAGTATCGAAGTATTTCAGCTGCAAGTTCGGGAAACTTGATCGTGTATTTGTTTGGGATTCTGTTCGCCCGATTTTTCTACCATGCAATTTTTGCTCATATATATATATATACTTTCTTGTGATGGTCCCGCCATGACCTGAACCCTGCCAATGTCATGTGCTGCTCTATGGCTGAGGTAAGCCTGGTTGCCGAAATGTCCGCAAGGGTGGCGACAACGTGACCACCCACTTGGCTGGTGTGTTCATGTGCTATGTGGTCTTCAGATCATTCAAATACAAACCTGTCTAGCTCCATGATGTTTCACTGAATCATGCATGCATGCATGCAGCCATGCAAGTCCTGGAAAGGGGGCCATATCAGATTATCAAGCGTTTTTGCTTCAAAACGTTCGGGACTGACTTGTATATAGATTGGATTCCACCGCCAGCTTCAAAAGAATCTTGTGCTGTGCTGCATGCAACTCCAGTTCGCGTATGTTGTGCATCTGTAATTATATGTCCCCATTGAGACCATATGAAAACATCGTTTATTTATATATAATTCAAAAAAGAACAACGACATTTCCCCAATTGTGTTGGTATACCTACTTACGTCCCCGAATGAATCTTAACCTACGTGAACATAGTGCCACCGCGCTGAGGCCTCATCGTGCCGAGCGGCTATTCGTGGGGCCCGCGGAGTGGTAAGGGATATAGGTGTGAAGGCAGCTGCGAAGAGTAAGGGTTTGAATGAGTTAGCCCGGTGCACTCCAAGTCACAGTGAACGTGATTTCCAAACTCTTACCAGCAAGTTTCAGTTGAAGCTGCCTATTGAACTGACTGCTCTTCCTAAGACTTTGGGCATTCGCTACACAGGCGATTTTAATGCCCTTTCATTGCGGAACTGGTTGAAGTTCCACATCGACCACAACACTTGGCACATTTTGACAGGCTTGGTGCGACCCAATCCACAACGAGAAAAGGACATTTTGTCTGAGTTTTGGCGTCGTTATCGCCTTCTCCACCCAAATCACCAGCTGTGGCAAATTGTGGCAGACAACAACATCGACCTAAGTCACACTGCTCCATTGATTTTCCACGGCGACGAGGGGAGGGGGAGGAAACGTGCAGCATTCCTGGTTGCTGCCTATCATTCGTATCTAGGTCTTGGAACCGAGAAAGCCAATTCGTCTCGAAAGTCAAAGCCATATCTTGTGCAGAAGTTGAATTACTCGGGGAACTCCCACACCCATCGCATGTTGACAGCGGTCCTCCCAAAAATGCTCAAGGATGAAGCTGCTTTTCAGGAGATTCTCAAGTTTATCACGAAGGATGCCCTTGGAGTCCTGAAGGATGGTGTGATTTCCAGCACTGGTGTCAAATATCATGCGGCAGTTTTGCAAGTGTCTGGTGACTGGGTCTTTCTCGCGAAATGTGGCAGCCTTTCACGGTCTTTCTCCAACGTGGAGAAGAGGCCTCGAGCCGAGGGCTCGAAACCTAAAGGGATTTGCCATTGTTGCAAGGCAGGACAGTTGCAGTATCCTTTCGAGGATCTTCGAAAAGTTCCGAAGTGGAGAGCCACGCTTTTTGATCCAGAAGATACACCTTTTTTGTCGCGCCCGCTGATTTTGAACCTGCCTCATGACCCTGCTAGGGCTCCAGGGTTTTTCTGTTTCGACCTGTGGCACGCCTTCCATCTTGGCGTCGGCAAAACGCTGACTGCATCCATTCTCGCAATGATTAGTATTCAGCAGGACGGCTCCAACATTGACGAGAGATTTGCATGTCTGACGAAACTTTATTTGGACTTTTGCCAAGAGTCGCACGAGAGTCCATTTATCACGAGCATTTCCAAAGAGACCCTGGGCTGGCCTGATACAAAAACGTACCCAAATGCTCAATGGTCAAAAGGACATATTACAGTGCTCATGATGGGCTTCATCGCTGATTGGTTTGAATGCAATGGGGTGGCAGGTGATCCCCTCTTTCCGGTGGCCAAGGAGGCCGTGGGCAGCATCAACACGTTCATGCAGCGACTGTATTCTGCAGACCTGTGGCTTGAAGCAGCTGATGGCAGAGAAATTGCGCAGATTGGTTTTGACTTCCTCTTGAAATACATGACCTTAGCAAAAGAAGCATTTCAAACTGACAGATCGCTTTTCGTCTTTATGCCGAAAATTCATGTGGTTCATCACGTGATTGACACGTTGTGGGAGCAATCATGCTCAGCACCTTACGCCTTGAACCCTCTTGCACACGCAGTGCAAGTGAGCGAAGATTACGTGGGTCGGATCTCGAGAGTAAGCAGAAGAGTCTCACCACTCCAGGCAATTACGCGAACGCTTCAAAGGTCTCTACAGGCGTCGCGGTGGCACTATGTCCAGCAGGGATATTTACGAGGATGAAGAAAAAGTGTGGAGCATCTGGCCAGGGTGCAACGCATCATATGGAATGATTTTGAGTTTCTCAAAGATTTCAAACATTCACACAGGATTTCAAACACAATGATCACAAAACATGAAAGATCACGACAGATCATGGAAATTCAAACATGATGAAAATCATGGTTTTTCAAAACCCCGGGTTTTGATTCAAAACCCCGGGTTTTCTCTCAGACCCTACGATTTCATAGGTTTTTGGTTCCACTGGTATAGAAACAGTGCAGCAGAGAACACACTGGTCGGCCGGGAAGAGCCACCGTGACCCTTTCTTGATTTGAGCCGAGATGTTCGCAACTTGTACCTTGTAAGCTATGACGAAGTCGGGTAAAAGCAAGTATATTTACAGTATATTAATTACGTTATTATATTATTCTAACCTGTTTTACCGGGAAAACGTCCTCATTTTACACTAAAATCTTGATTGAAGCCCTCAATTTACAACATTCCCACCGAGGACAGCGGCACAATTTTGCACACCTGCTGTCATACCATCTCAGGTTCCAACAAAGCCGAAGCAGCCTTGCAGCCGTGGCAGCTGTCAACCAGCGGAAAGAGCTGGACAAGCAGACACCGACGACGACGCAGCGCCGCTGGCGAACTTGAGAAAAGCACCCCTACGCCGGGAAGGGCACCGTGGCAGAAATGAGTCCCGCTGAAAACAAAGCATTTTGCAGAACGTTGCCCATCAATGGCAACGGGACGCAATTTCCAAGCATGCCTTGAAATTTGGACTTTGTAGTCACCTCCTGCCAACCCATCAATTCAGACTCTGGTCGAATGCCCGACACCCGCATAATTTCATTTGTGGTCATCTTCCTTCCACGCGACGAAATCCAGAAGCCGCCGCTTACGGCCCGAGACTTGGATAGGGTCCGTGCAATGTCCACACCATATGTCAGGAAAGACTTGCTGCAGCCAACATCGATTGCTACAGGTGTCTTTCTTGGATCCACCTTGTGGTCATTGAAAACCTTTTTGTACACAGTCAATGCCAACTCTTTGCTCCTTTTGTTTGCTGGCAATCGACCAGGAACGTCTTCTGAAGTTTCTGGGTCCAAAACTGACGTCAACGACCTTGCGCCCTGCGACTTTGGCCATTTAAATGGTCGTCTGTACGAATCCTCTCTGACTGCGACGATGAAGAGACGCTTGCGGTCCTGAGCAACCTTGTAATTTTTGGAGTTGAGCACACCAAAGAAGGTTTTGTAACCCAGCTCTTGGAGTTTTTCTTTAATTCCTTTCAGCACTGGTTTAAAATGGTTTAAACCTCTTGGCACATAAGCCTTTGACATTTTCGAGCACGAATGCTCGGGGTTTTCGGCGTTTAACATATTTCATTGCCACCGTCATCAGGCCACCACGAGGATCTTTCAGACCACGTTTCTTGCCCTGCGCAGACCATGCCTGGCAAGGGGGCGTGGCAATGTAGAGATCAACCGTCTTTTCGTCTTCTTCTTTGCGGTTGGATACGTCGCCGTGTAGTGTCTTCGGATTGTAGAACTTCTGCAAAAGCTTCTGGCAGTCTTCGTCGCTATCTGAACAAAATGTGTGCTCGACAGGGATCTGTGGCAACCGCTGCAAAGCCAGCATACCCGTGTCCAACCCGGAAAAATCCGAACCCACCTTCACCAAACGAGGCGTTCGCTGCATCTCGCCGCTGATTCTGGCCGAAGCAGCCAAATCAACTGGCCGAAACAGCCTGGAATCCGAACCGGACCAGCCGAAACAGCCGAGGCAGCCGAAGCAGCTACTCTAACAGCTGAAACAAGCGAAGCCGCTGTGCTGACAGCCTCTCAAACCGAAATGCCTGCACAGGTCTGTGAAATAAATTAAACTTTGCACGTCCGAAAAATTTGCCACACAGACAGAACTTCTGATGTCTGACAGTCTGGTTGCCATTCTCTTGCTGAACTTTAACTATTTTAATCTTGAGCCTACACCAGGTAATGCAGCCAACACAAAGTGTACAAACGCAGCCTAGGCTCACTTTTCCACCCTGCAAATTTAAGCTTTGTTCAAGCCAGTCAGCGATGCAAGAAGGTCTGCCCTACGAATGCGCTGCATTAAAGTCTCCACAGTGTAAACTTGCTTCGCCCTCGCCAATGCCTCAGGGACAGCTATAGATGCAAGTGTACAAAGAGTCACTGTTCCATCAGACCAAACAACGTAAAAACACGAACCAACTGAGAATAATATAGCCAAGCTGCCACAGCCGAGCGCTCCTCTGGCGACACAACCAAGTAACCAACTCCTTGCGGATAATCTCTTTGTTTGTCGGTCATGTCTTGAAACGATGCGTCGGAAGCCATTTTGTGAAGCGTCCACTTGCAACCAGGCGGCAAAACAGACCATAGCATTTGCCAAAATGGCAAATGTCTCTGAGCACATTCAGCTGACACAATCAAAGCCCGTCGTGCCGAAGCAGCACAATGAAATTTCAAAGCAGCACCCGAACCGCGAAGGAAAAAATCGGGACATGCCTCCAGACGACCCAGCACTCCAGCGACAATGCTAAGCTTGTCCTTCTCACTGCAGTCTCCAGGCCGGTGACAAATCAAAACATCAGCTTCTAACATGTTGTGACAAACCGTCAAGCCAGCATTTGCCAATGCAGCCTGAAGATGCACAGTGGCCGGAACAGCCAAATAAACTTGTCCACCATGCAGCTCTGCCAAAATCCTTCCTCGGTCCTTTTCTTTGGCAGCCTTCTCGTGCCGCAAAGCTTGCCGCCGCCGTTTCTGTTGGTTCAGTTCAAACCTGTCCATTATTCCCATAGACTGCTGCTTCTCTTCTTCTGTAACATATTCCAGAGGCAAACTGTCCTCAGCAATTGCCTGGCTCTTGCGTGCAGCTGTCTTATTCTTCAAAAAAGTGTTTTCCTTGTCATGGTTTGCTGTCCAGCAGTTTTCATTGACATCAACATCCGTCAACTGGTAGTCCTCAGCAGCCGCTGCAGCCGCTCTCCGGCGCCTCTTGATGAAATCAGTTTCAGTAGGGCACTTCTCGTCACTGGCAACGTTGTCCCTATTCCTTTTCAAGCCTTTGTCCACACGTGCTCCTTTCCTCTCACGCGGAGCGCCATACTGGCAGGACCAAGCAACGCGAGCAATTCTACAGATTTCTTCTTGCTCACTCACGGTCTGCTGTGGCAAGTCCACGAACAGTTTTAACACGAGTTCTTCATGACTTGCTAAAGCATGGTGCCGCTGCTTGGTAAAGTTGTAAGCTACCTTGCTAAAATTTTGCTCCACCCCAGACGTACTTGGCGTGCACACAAAGTAATTTTCCAAGCACGTCCTCAAGACATTCGTTGGATGAGCTTTCTGTGTCGCATGGTGCGCCGCCATGCTGGCAATGGTTTCTTTCCACGCTTCCTTGTTTGCCTGCCTTGCCAAACCTTTGGCGGTGGAGTCCTTCAATTTCCCAACCTGAACCCTGAAAGCCAGCTGAGCTCTAGGGTACATGTCTTTCCACTGCTCTTCCAATTGTCTCTCATCTAGTTTAAACGCATGGGCTAGAATGCGGAGATGTTTTTCCGAATGGTTAGACAAGCCACCCAAATTGAAAATATCATACGCCTGAATGACTTCGAAATCAGGGAATTCTGCCTGAATGGCCGAATCAGCCAATTTAACCCAAGCCTGCATGGCGCCGAAACAGCGATCGACTTTTCAGAAGCAACCCCATGGCTCGATCCGATTGATTTCAAATCCTTGCCAACTTGAAACACGATCGGTGATTTTAACATGTCCAAGACAGTTGACGTGTATCCGAACTGTTGCAGACACTTCTTTCCAACAAAAAGACTGTGCACCTCTTTCATATAACAATGAAGTTCTTTGTGGACAACCGCTGGGTCAGTGCTTTCCTCGTCGAGCGCACGTGTGAGTGCCAAGCTGGAGTCTGCTGCGTCGGCTAGCATTGCTGCTTGCACGAGCCTTTCTTCTGAAATCCAAAGAAGCCATGCTTTTGCCCGCTTGGCAGCGGAGTCTGTGCGAGTTCGCACCAAGTGAAGTGCTGTTTTCAAGGTAGCATGGAAATATAGAAGTGTCCTACCCAGTGGACGGGCAAAGGACTCAAAGCGATGCCCTGCTGCCCTGAACGAGTTCAAACTCCTTTGCACGGCTGCATTTGAGGTCTTGGCATATTCTGAAAAAATTCTCTTGATTTCCACTGAGTGATGCATAATTTTAGCCATGGAAGCGCCTCTGCACATATAGTCCATGATTTCTTTCAGTTTGGGATCAGCATGCCAGGGCCTGCTGGTCAACCTTCGTGACGCATGGGCTCGATCTCGGAAAACATGCTGAAGGTTTGGTGTCAGCGCTTCAGCGCCATTGACAGACAGAGCTGCCGACCTCATTATCTCAGCGCTGGCCATCTCATCTGCTGCCGAATCAGCACACAGGACAACAACCTTTTCCCTGAGAAGTTTCAACAAAGGTGCTTTCAAATGCCCAGCCAGGTGACCATCAGGTGCCCCATAGAATCTTGAGCAGGCACGCTTCATGATATTCAAAGTTGTTTTTGACAAGTTGTCTGCGCCGGTGCCTTCAAATCTTCCTTGGCCTAAAAAGCCGCTGCGCACAGACAGGTCCGACGAGACTGTTCGAAATCTAACTGCGACCCTTCCATGTCTTTCATCCCGCATCAAAGCAATCAAGGAAGCACTTTGGATAGCTCGCTGGTCCAAAACTTTGACCCCTTCAGCTAAACACCAAGCCATTTTCAACTCCTTTCGCGTCAAGGTTGTTGATTTACCGAATTTTCCAATAAAATCAGAAAATTCTTGGCAGGACGGAGCCAATGTTGACGGGGGGCCGAGACAGCCACCTTCGCTGCTTGGATTTGCTGGGCCGAAGCAGCCCATGCCACTGTGGCCGGACCAGCCACTTTGGCCGGAACAGCCACCAGTTCGATGAAGATAGTCTCTGACAGCTCCAAGGTGCGCCTTTGTCTTCTGG